AAAGGTAATTTATCAGCTGCTCTGAGAATGCAGCAGGAGGGAGTTGGAATATGATTCTTAAAAAAGTTATCTCATTTGTGTTCTTGTAGGGTCAAAAAGAATTTGCAAAATTTGGGGCACCCCAGAAATATAGGGTAGGGGTAACAAGAGGGGCAAACGGAGCAAGATGGAAAAGGGGTATGAGAGCACAGCTAATATTGCTGTGTGACCCAAGCATGAGGAAGATGGTAGATGATAAATCTAAATGAGCCATTGGGGTCAGCTTGTGAATGGTCTTATCTGACATGCTACAGAACTTGGATTTTTATCTTGTGTAGGATTTTTATGAAGGAGGCATATTATTACATCTGTGGTAGCAGTAGGTAGGCTGGGAAAGAAGGGTGAAAATAAGAGAAAAGAGTTTTTCCTTTGTATTTAGAGGATATTAGAGAAGAATCAGTAGGTCATAGGCAACTGAGAGAAGGTCTTAATGAAACTATAGAACAATAGTTTAATAAGGAATAAAAATTACGTAAGTAAGTCAGAATAAACCCACGCTGTGGGTTGTGAAACACGCTACCAATTGGCAGTTAGGGAACACCATTATTGGAATTCTTCAAATAAGTTTAGAACAAATATTTTGGGAGGTTGGGTTACCGGGTGAACCTAGGTAAAATACAAGACGACTAGTTAAATCTGAATTTCAGATAAACATTGAATGATTTTTTTTTTTTTTTAGTGTATGTTCTGTGCTAAAAACAATTTTTTTTTATCTGAAATTCAGATTTAACTGGATATCCTATTATTTTTATCTAGAAAAACTGGTAATCCTAGTATTATAAAAAGGTTATGAGAATGCCCGGTGATCAGACTCAATCTGATCCTTCTTTTGATGATAGTGTTACCATATGTGTTTGCAGGTATGAGGTACAAGCCCCAGTGAAGCATTTTCTAGAACACAGGAAGAACCTTTTGGGGAGTCTTTTTACATTTAAGTGGCTATTAGGAATTTCACCTTAGGAAATTGTAAAGTTACTTGATCAAGAAGAAAAGAGAGACTAGGAAAAAAAAGGGAAAATTCAAACTACTGAAAGCATCTAGTATTCAGCAGACTAGATGGACAATGTCTTGTGTATTCCGGGAAACAAAATGGGGTGTCATCCCTCCTGAGAGGGATCATCCAGTTTGCTTTATCAAGTGTGAGCAAGGCTGGGCTGCCATTGTTGTTTATGCTCTTAATATACAGTGGCTCTTGTGTTCTGGCTCCTGTTTTTATTGGGGTTGTAAAAACATTACAAAAACCCCAACAGTAAGCACTCTGCCAAGAAGGTGAGGTCATAGTAATATGACTTCACAGGGAGCGAGGTCCTTAGAAGCCCTAGTGGACCAATAGACACTGGACTTGTGGGGCAAAGAGTACTGAGAAGGGGCTTGTAAGGGGATGTATGTATGGCCCAGCCACCCTAGGCTCTGAGATGAGTTCTTTTTGGTGTCTGCCTTATTGCTGGTGAGTTTGTATTGCCATTATATTGCCAGGCTTTCTGATTTAAAAGGAGCAGTCTCTGTTCTTGCTCAAGTAATCTCATAAATCATGAAATGGGACAGAATGAAGCCATCTAGGAATGGAGGTATTTATCCTCACTGTATTCCTTATTTTTTTTTTTTTACTGAAGGTTTTGTCAAGAAGATCCACAGAAATCTGATTTGTACAGATGTTAAAATTACCTCCTTTTGAAGAATGTGGGGAGAATGAGGTGAAATAGACTGGGCTGGGCAAGAGAGTAGAAAGAGGGGGCAAGTAGAAAAAGTGGTGACTGTCACCACTACACTTTAAAAAAATATATGCTCATTAGGGTAAGTCTCTTGTATTTGAACAAAATCTTTGCAGTACTGTATATATGGTGTAATTTTACTATTTACATGGAGTGATTAAATATATACCATAAATATGTCATGAAAAATGAGCAATAAGTAGCAGTTTAATTGAAAAGAAAATGCTTTCTTTGGCATTTGTTTTTTCTCCATGATAGCTACTAGATAGAGTAAGAGAATGCATGCAGACAGAACTGCAGGGATTTTCTTTTATAATTATAAAAATTATTTGATTGTAACTAAAATAGTTCTTGGAATAAATGTTTTACATTTCCACCACGAATGCAGGAAAACACAAAGTATGAGTTGTCCTTTAAAAGAATTTTCTAATACAAGTTTACTTATTATAAGTTTGCTGTATATAATGATTGAATACTCAAGTTTTCTGATAGGATAGATTTCATAAAACTGGGTGGTAACTCTGTAGAGGAAGGTTTAGGATGAAAAAATATTTAAAGGTGTTTGCATGAAGATCTCACCATAATGAAGCAATTTATTTTAATTGGTATCTATTTCTGTTGGAAAATTGTTTAAGGTGGCTAATTGTTTAAAGAAGGGTTACCAAATATCTTAGTTTGCCTAGGGTAATTCCAGTTTATGTTTGTTGTCCTGGCATTGACTGTGGCTTAACATTAGACTGACTTTAAAAAATGAAGTATTATCATTAACAGCTGCAGTAAAGTTAAGTCAGCCTGGGTTTGAAAAGCCTCCAGTTGGTACTTCTAGCTTCTCTGCAGTGTCCTGTGGGATGTGTGAGTTGACGTGTGCATTGAACAGAATAGTTAAGTCTGAAAGACAGTGTGGGATAACCTCTCTCTTTTCCCTCCCCTTGTAGCTCTCTTTCAAGGACAGCATGTGGAATACTTGCTGATAGAATGAGCTTGGAGAGGAGTTGTGAGGGGCAGTTATCTCCCTCAAGTCTGGCAGTGGTTGGGGAAGTCTGGGACTGTGCAGTTCCTAAGTGTACTGGCTGGGCAAACAGTGATAGTGTACCTGCCAGGCTACCACTTAGTTGGTGGTAGGAAGTGGAAAATCATAAGGTAGAATAAGTGACAAAAATAGATACTGAATAGTTCTGCTTAAAAAAATACATTTTTTGCTATGATTTTTATTATTTATTATAAGTTTACAACTAATTTTTTATTGGTGATGCCTTTTTTTTTTAACTTTGTAACAATTATAATCTCATTTAATTTTATCATCCTGTTCTCTTAAGAGTATCTTGGGTTAGACAATAAATGGATACTCTACTTACAATTCAGGCCAAGTTAAAGAACTATGTGACAGAGCAAAGACATGCAAAACTAGGCCTATGGGCCCGTTCAGCCTAGCCTGGAATGGTTTTTAAGTTTTAAAAGGTTGGAGAAAAACAAAAACAAAAACAAAGAAGCATGTGAGACAGAGACCTTATGTGGCCTTGCCTGAAGTATTTACTATCTGGTTCATTACAGAAAAATTCTGTGTCTGGTTTAGAGTCTGTGGTAAGTGTGTTGGAAGGCTACTTAAATGTGGTAGTTTATCATGAATGTACTGTTCCTTAGTTACCAAGTAAAGTGAGAATTTGGAAATTACTGCGTTATTGGTGTGTGTGTTATAAATGCATGATGTAGCATTCTATAGCCACCCACAGGCTGACCCCTTTGAAGAGCAGAGGCCTCACAGTGCGGTTTGTGGGGCCCTTTCAGGAGGTTTATGAGTTCCAGTTTATTTTATAATAACGATACAGCATTATTTTCCTTTTTCACTGTATTGATGTTTACACAAATGATGCAAAAGCAATGGTGTAGGGGCTTTAGCACAAATCAAGGTAGTGGCACCAAACTGTCCTAGTTGTTATTATGTTCTTCACTATTCTGCACTCAAAATAAAAACAAAAGCCAGTCTCACCTAAAAATTCCTAAATATGATAAAGCAGTACAAAATAATTACATTTTAACTCTTGAGTATATACCTTTTTAATTTCACGTGTGATGAGATGGAAAATATGCATAAAGCACTTCTACTCCTGATGGTTTTCTTTAGGACAATCTTGTATGTAATTCGAGTTGTAAGTTATAAACTAGTTGCTTTTTATGAAATGCCATTTTTCCTTCAAAGTGTAACCGACAAACTATGGTTATTGGGAGCCATTTTCTCAAAAATTAAGAGAGTGAGCCTATTACTAATTTAAGAAAACAACTGACAATATTTGTTGCCAACAATAAAATTTGAGCTTTCAGTTAAAACTTAGAATTTTGGAAAACTTATATCTGCCACCAAAAGTTTGGTAGCTTTTCCATACTTAAAGATTTTTCTGAAGATAATAGTGGTGACATAATAAACGTGATTTTAAAAAATATCGTATAATGAAATGTGTCAACAGATATTTTGCAAATGACCAATGTATGGTATGGAATCTTGCCTGGGTAAAAGATCCATTTAAAGTAGAAGATATTTTAATATGAGTATAAAAAGTTCTTTGAATACGGTATTGGCACCAACCTTTGGGAAACTACCCCTTGTCTTATTTTGGTGCCGTATAAAAAAAGAATATCTACAATTATCTGAAAAGGATATTAAATTACTTCTTATTTTTTTTAACTAAATATCTGTGTGAGGCTGGATTTTAATATATTTCAATCAAAACAAAGTATTGGTTAGTGGCAGTGAGAACCCAGCTGTCTTCCAGTAAGCCAACCATTAAAGAAATTTCTAAATATGTAAAGAATTGTTGCCTTTCTCACTAAATTTTATGTTGTTTTGGAAACTATAATTGTTTTTAATAAAATATTTATATTCATGAAATGGGTTTGTTATTTTAGGTGAATTCATAGTTGAAATTTTTCTTTTTAAATTATTAATACAGTGAATATCAATTGATAAAACCCACATAAACACAAAGATCTTTGGTGTCCTCCGTATTTTTAAAAATGTAAAGGTCCTGAGACCAAAGTTTTGAGAACCGCTCATCAAGGGTTTAAGCAATCACTTCTTCGGTACATTGAAATACAGTAGCTGGAAACACTTTTATGAATAATTAAGCATAAAACTATCATTTAAAAGTCTTTTTCATTTAGTTCTACAATAGCATGGTAATTTCATCAGCTATTTTTCCTTTTTGTCACATAAAAAAAATCTTTTCTTTTTTTCTTCTTTATCAATTCTCACAGCAATGCTGGGGTAAAAACAACACTACTAGAGGCTCATTCTGAGATGGGGAGCACTGAAATTCTGGAAAAGGAGACCTCAGAAAGTCTCAGTAATGGTACCAGCAGCAACGTAGAAGCAGCCAAAAGGTTGGCCAAACGCCTTTATCAACTAGACAGATTCAAAAGATCGGATGTCGCAAAGCACCTAGGCAAGAAGTACGTTCTGTACCAAGGCTGGTGTCTGAGTGTTCCGTATGTGTGTGTCTTTTTTAACAGCTTGGATTTTAATAACAAAGTTTATCCTGTTTTCTTATAGCAATGAATTTAGCAAACTAGTTGCAGAAGAATATCTGAAGTTTTTTGATTTTACAGGAATGACACTGGATCAGTCTCTCAGGTATGATTAAATATCACTTCTTTTATTGTTGTTGTTAAGATTTTATTTATTTATTTGACAGTGAGAGAGACAGCCAGAGAGGGAACACAAGCAGGGGGAGTGGGAGAGGGAGAAGCGGACTCCCTGCTGAGACTCCCAGGACCCTGGGATCATGACCTGAGCCAAAGGCAGACATTTAAATGACTGAGCCACCCAGGCACCCCCACTTCTGTTTTATTTTTGCCTCCAAATAATTAATTCTGAGAAGGGAAAGTAATGCTGAAACTAATTTTTTAGCCCACAGTGACTTTGTGACCTTAGCTCAAATTATACTATAGTTTATTAGACACAGTAGAAAGAAAATTATATTGTTTTTATGAAATCACACATGAAATCATATTTTCCAACTAGTAGATGACATAATAAAGAATAGTGACAAAGTCTTGAGAAGTGGAATCTATGGGAATTTGGTTTTCGAATGATCAATTAAAAAAGGCATAGATTTACAGACTGTAGAATTACAGGCTTTTTTCCCCTAAGCATTTGTTTACAATAGCCTTTTAAGATGATACTTTGAATTAACTCATGAATGGAATAAAAGTGAATATCAACATAATAATCAGCAGAAGATATCTGTAAACTGTTTCAGATAGTAGCACTTTTTGCTGATCTGTTCAAATGAAGGTTTAATAAACACAATGATCCTCACTTTTCACACCATATTGTACTGTAAATTTCTAAGAGCCGCTGAAGGTAAAACTCAGTCAGCATTTACTCTTATAAACTTTATAACATGTCAGAGCCTGGAGGAATTCTGAGATCATCTGTATAACCCTTTAGTTTTATAAATCAGGAAACTGCATTTTGGGAGGTGAAGTAAGGTTGTTTGGATTAGAATGCACAATAATGACTTATTTGGTGGCACTTTGCGTGAATTGAGGGCATGCATAGGTTTTTCCACTGAAAACAAATAAGGGTAGAGGAAAGATCTATATTTATGCTTTGTTCTCTAATGTGGTTTATAAAAGACGGTTATGAAAAATTCAAGTTTGATCAATATAATTTAGATTTAACAAACTAAGACAGCAATATTTTCATCATAGAAATAAGGTTTTTTGTATGTTTCTTTTTTTTTTTTTAAAGATTTTATTTATTTATTTGAGACAGAGAGCACATGAGAGGGGGGAGGGTCAGAGGGAGAAGCAGGCTCCCCGCCGAGCAGGGAGCCCAATGCGGGACTCGATCCCGGGACTCCAGGATCATGACCTGAGCCGAAGGCAGTCGCTTAACCAACTGAGCCACCCAGGCGCCCTGTATGTTTCTTTTAATTGTAAGATTTCTTAGAACATTTTAAAGGATTTTTTTCTTCCTATCTCATGTTTAGGGAAGTGCATCTACTTTGTCAAGTGAGGGTTATCGGAATTTATCATTAATAGACAGTACTCTTAGTGACCCCGATTTAGATTGGTGTGTGGTTCTGGGCATATTTTTATTTTGCGAAGAATTTTTATACATAAATTTATTCCTAGCCTAAGGAATAAATTAGGGTTTTAGCTCCCAATTTTCTTCTCATATAAAAAGTTAATAATATAATGTGATAATAGGCAAAATAAAATTCACAAAAATCTGTGCACAAGATAATATAATTGTAATTATTTTCTTTTTTTAAAATTTTATTTTATATTCAGTCAGTTAACATATAGTGTATTATTAGTTTCAGAGGTAGAGTTCAGTGATTCATCAGTTGCATATAACAGTGTGTCAGTGGCGAGTACAATCATATAACAAAATGACAAACTGATCCATGTATAGTTTTTAAAACATAGCCTACATGGTTATGGGTTCAGTCTTAAGTGTTCTTTGGTTTTTATCTGACTGATCTTTTAAATGGCTACTTGTCACTCAGTCATATGGGAAGTTACTACCTTCCCAAGGTTTTTCTTAATGTATTAGCTACCATGTTATTGTTACTGCCCTGTCATCTTTTATATTGACATTTTATAGAATTAAGTAAATTTATATTGAATGGCTTTCTAATAAGTGATTTTTTAAAAAAAATAACTAGAATATCTTCTTTGTATAATTAATTTCTTGTTATATATAAATTAACTTTGTCAAACGTAAAGAGTATGGTAATGTTTTCTAGTTTCACTTTTTTTCTCTTAATTCTTTTTAAGGTATTTCTTTAAAGCATTTTCTCTTGTGGGAGAAACTCAAGAACGAGAGAGAGTTTTAATACACTTCTCCAATAGATACTTTTATTGTAACCCAGATACCATTGCTTCACAAGGTAATCTGATGGAAATGTTTGTATTTCAAAAAACAAGGGTTATTTTTCTCATTATGAAAGTTATATTTTATTGTGGAAAATATGGAAGATTATACAAATGAAAATGAAAATCATCTAGGGATCTCTAATTACCTGGAAAAAACTATTAACAACTGTTTTATTTCCTTCTATTCTATTTGTATAATATTTAATTTCAAATTTGAATCATTACAGAGTTTTGTTTCCTATTGTCTTTCCCTTTCATTGTGAACATTTTCTCATGTCATTAAATATTCTTTAAAAAGCAAGATATTTAATGACTGCATGGTATTCTTTTCTTTTCATTATTTTTTACTTCGTTTTCCAGTTCCATAGTATGACAAGATGCTTTAAGTTGCTCATGCTGCTACTCTGAGATTTTACATGGCAAAGCACATTGTAATAAATGAAATGCTGGTTTTCTTATGTCTTCTTTCTATCCATCTGATCTCTAAACTTCTTGAAGTGCATGTATACTTAGTTTTGGAAACATTTACAAATCTCACTGGAGTTTGTAGTGTGTCTCCAGTGCTTTGGTTTGATATTCATTGTAACACTGACCACTGACTTTGGTTTATGATTTTAATGAACTATGAGTTTATGTTTATTGTACTATTTTTAAAAAGCAACTTTCAACTATTTAACTGTTGCACCCTATCAAGAGGTTTTCTTCCTCCGTGCCGTTTCCTGCAATAAAGCAAAATTTTCAGGGTTTGAAGTCAGGCACATTCATTTGCAATTGGAGAATCTTTCATAAACACAAATTCTGGAATAGATCACTAGGACTAGATGCACTAGAAATAACAATTATCTCTTAGCTTCCCTATTGCCAATTAACTGGGATAAATGTACTTGATATTGACTAAAGTGATTAATCCCCCCCCCCCCCGCCTCTGCCCTGCAGGCTATAGCTAAATTAACTAACAATCTGATCCTTAGAGTCACATTTCTCTCTGTAAAATGGGAACTTAATTTTCTTTAGTCCTTTCTTTGTTTATACTTAGACTATTTATTCACTGTTTCTATCACTATCAGGATTGAACAGAGAATGAAGGGGATAAAAGGGAGTTGTTTTTATTAAAACCTCCTTTAATCTAATAAGATGTTGACATTCCTGAGTGAAATAAGGAATATGGATGGATGTGTACACTCAACTGGCCATTGAGTTGGCTACTGAGTTTTACAAATGCTTTCAAGGAATTTATTTTGAATGTATTTAAAATTTAATAATAACAAACGGGAACTGGAATAAATATACTTTTGGGCATTTGATAGCATCTCCTTAGAGACATTAATAACAGAAATCACATACTATATTCAAAGACATACTTCTGAAAAATAAGCTATCTTTAATTCATGAATTCAGTAATTAGGAAGGCCTGCCTTTCTGTACATTTGGCATACACTAATAAGATTTTTCTGCATCTTCACTGCCATTGTCTATTATACTTGGATTGAGAATTGCAGGTAAAGAATGAGGAGAAGTAATTCTAAGGTTTGGAAATGAGAAGCTTCTAACTCTTAGTGCTTTTTCTTTTCCTTTATAAAGTAAGAGAGAGTGATGTTTCCATCTAAATGTGACATGATCCATCTGGTTTGAACAACATCTTTCCCCTGAATATGTAATTTTTTAATCTTTACAATTATTACAGTATTGTACTTTTGTCTGATCCATAGTATCCTGGACCAACCTACATGTTGCCTTTAGTGAATTGTCAAGAAAGAGGATAACTATTCCTGCCCATAAATTTTTACCCAGAGACCTAATACCCAGGCAGTACAGTGAAAGACCCAAATCTTGGTTTCCTTTAACTTTTGCTTCTTTCTCAATTCACATTCCTCCCAGAAAGTAAAAAAAGAAGGAACAGTAGCAAATAATTTATTTTCATTTCTGTATCTTACATTACAGAAAATTGGGAAAATATAAATAAAAAGGTAAAAATTATCTCACTATCCAGAGATGATAATCTTTAATATGTTATATATTATTCTAGATGTATTTATATTTAAATGGAATCGTACTGCATATAATGTGCTTTCCATATAATAATTTATTGTGAAATATCTTTCTATTTCAACATGTATACTTGGACAACATTTTTAATGACTTAAACATAACAGGATTGTGTTTTTGGAGGGTTTTATTTACTTGTTCCCCATTATAAGCAATATTTCTTTGGATACCCTTGTATTTTGCATAGATCCTTGTTTCCTTAGTGTAAAGCCTTATAAATGGATTTGCTGTGTCAAAAGACACTGTTTCAAAGCTTAAGATAGGTTCTATCAAACTACCCTCCAGAGAGGTAAAACTGATATATTTTATCACCAGCAGAGTCCAACTCTGTGCACTGAGGTCCTTCTAATAATTTATCTATTTTTTGTCTCCCCAAACAAATACGATTAATTGTGCCTAGCCACATGTTTGTGTTCTCATAGGTTCTTAATGTACGCCACTCTAATGATAATAAGGAGTCCAATAGGAAATAGTGAATTAATGCTTTCTTTCCTTGTTTCTTCCCTTAGATGGGGTCCATTGTCTCACCTGTGCAATGATGCTTCTTAACACAGATCTCCATGGCCATGTAAGTGTAGGTGTGTGAAGCTGTCTTATGGAAATCAAAATATCTTGGGTTTATCTTTGCTTTTGTGTTCATATGCACTTATTCTCTGCCTCCCCTTTCTCTCATTCTCTACATGGCAGGTAGGTAAATGTAAATCCTTGGAAAAAGAAATAGCTATTTTACATGCTAGCACAGAGCATAATTCACTTAAAAGTGAATATGATATTGTCTACATGTCTGGAGTTGACTTACCTGTAGTGTATTCTCTATCTACTTTCTCCAGTAGATGGCAGAGACATTTTTATTTGGGTTGATATATGATGGAAAGGGGATGTAAGTTAGATCTGAAGATGGTGACTGTGTTTTTACTAAATCTAGTAGCCAGTCTTAAGAACACAGCCTTTTCTACACCTCTCAGCTCACGTGGTCTTCTACTAGTTGAAATACCAAAATATTCTAATTACTATCTCATCTTCTTTTTAAAATCTAGAGTGAGCTTAAATTTATAATTATATGTAAATCTTTACCTTTCATAGATGTGGAATTTTAGCATTTACTTAAACTGTTTATCTTAGAGAAAATGAAAATGTTTTAGTTTAATATAGGCCAATATGTACTTATTTAGCACAAAAATTATTTCATAGTCCCAGGTCCATTTATTTTGAAGAGAAAACCAGGTTTCTTATGATTAAAGAATCTAGATCATCCCTTGATTTGCTATATGATTTATCTTACAATTTTAAAAAATCACATTAAAAGAACTAAAACTGGGGTGCCTGGTGGCTCAGTTGTTAAGCATCTGCCTTTGGCTCAGGTCATGATCCCAGGGTTCTGGGATCGAGCTCCTCATTGGGCTCCCTGCTCTGCGGGAAGCCTGCCTCTCCCTCTCCCCCTGCTTGTGTTCCTGCTCTCGCTGTCTCTCTCTCTGTCAAATAAATAAAATCTTAAAAAAACAAAACAAAACAAAAAAAACACTAAAACTTAAGTATCCATACAAATTCATTCTCGTATTCCGAAAGCCCACATAATTCTCTTAAGAAAGGCAAAATGGAGCTGTTTGGGACTGTTAAGATGGACTGAAGGAAAAAAAAAGTGATCTACTATCAGAAAAATGAAGAGGAGATGTAGTGATAGCTAACACTGTTTTCACAGACCTCTCAACTCAACTAGGAAGCTAGGAAGTTCCTTTTGCAATTTGCCTGAGATGAGTTTAGAATAACCTAGTGACTTGTAGACATATGTAACATGTGTCCAGAGATGATACAGAATAAAATTAATAGATACTCGCAGGGGACATTTTGGGGTAATAGCGCCATAATACATCTTGGGGAAATAAAGGTACTAGGATTCCCACAGTGTGAACTTTGACATGAGGATCAGAATCTAAACTCATTGGCTTGTTACGGAGATGACCAGTCAGTGGACAGTCCTGACCTCTGTTTTTCTCTTACCAGTAAAGCAGATTTTCCTTGTTTAATTTCTCTGCTTGTCTTATGATGACAGTTACAATTCTGTCCCCTTCTTTTCCTCCGACTTAATTTCTCAACCTAACTTTGAGCTGAAAGAGACAATTTTGAATACTCTTGTCCACATGTAACTTTGATCCAAGTCAGCAAGTCCCAGCATGAGGCATCTTCCTCACGTGAGATATTTTGAGGTCTCATTCACATACGATGGTTGTGCATTTAGTGTCTGTTGACTGAGAAAATTTATAATGACGAAAAAAAAATCCAGTAACACTTTCAATTCTTATTTAGAAGTTGAGGATCTCATAGAACTTCTGTGGAAGTTGCTAGATGGCAGATTGGTTTCTATTAAAAGCTGAATTACTTTTTAGAAAGCTAATATTGCTTTAATAATACTTTCAAATAAACATGTATCTTATTAATCACAATAATTTGAAACATAGCAGTAAATAAAGGTGTGAGGTTTGTTATTTATTCACATAACACAGCATGTTTTATATCCAAACTAACCACGGGCATCCCAGTGTCTATAGTCCATAGGTTCAGAAGCACAGATCTCGGATATGCTCTTGCTCTGTTTTCAGACCAATTTTGAATAGTTGAAAAGAGATTAAATGAAGCGTCACACTTCTTTTTGGCAACTAGAATGTAAGCGTTTATAGGTAAGAGGCAGTATACCAATGAAATAGTTTAATATTGTTTGGCTATAGTCACAATTACATATAAGAAAGAGAATAAATACAATATCATCAACATATTTTTAGTAATTATTGGTTCTTAGCTTTGTTTTTGAAAATGTGTGCTATATACTTAGGATTGTCTGTTGTTTAGGTTTTGTATATTAGAGGTTTTTTAAATCCTTATTTACAGTGCATGCTGTTAAAAGTGTTGAATATATAGTAGTTATCATAAGAACTAACCATATGAAAATGTGTTTTCTTATCTTCCAACTCTGGATTCATTTTAAAAATAAATTTTCCTTCTAGGTGGTAAGTTTTTATCCATAATTCTGGGTGTAGCTTCTCTTGCATCATGATTGCCTGATTTATTGTTACAGTGTCTGTTCGACTTATTAGCATGGCCCCTTTGAAGGTGAATCATTCAAAATATAAAGTGAATTATTTCTAATATCTGCCCCTTTTCACCTCCCCCCTAGGCTGTACTGCCTAGCCCATCACCTCTCATTACTTAGTCCAATGCCAGAATAATCCTCTTGGGAAGTGAACTATTAAACCATTTTCCTTTTCTTCCTTACCATTGTGCCATGATAGCAATACAACAGCATGACCCTTTCTAAGAAGTATTGAGATAAGCCTGTCTTTTGCTTTCAGTGGGGGAGGCATAACTTGGGAATTAGCTTCTTTTGGCTTTTCTTTGTGAATCCTCCTTGTGGGTTTTATTTACTCTAAGGACTGATACATTGAAAATGCACTGGTATGGGCCTTTGTTCATTCTGCTAACTTACTAAAATGATAGAATGTGTACTAATATAATAAATCTAATGTACTGTCATATATTGGAATGCCATTCTTTCTTTCTTTTTGTAATTCTATCATTCAGCAAACACTTATAGTATGTCTGCTCTATCCAAGTTCTGTGCCACTTGCGTAAGGATCGGAAATGAATGAGACATTTATGGAACTCAAATCTCATTTCTGGTAGTGTTGGCTAGGCTGACTTCCATTAGTCCTTTTAACTGAAGAATGTAGCAGGTAACTGAGGTGCTATAGTGGAAAAGTACTGGGGGGCTATTTGAATTATACCTTGGATTATTGAATTTCACTAAGTAGGCTAAAACAAAAACCAGTATGAAGTATATGCAATATTTTTGGGAGAAGTTCATTCCAATGTTATAATTTCATTGGAGCTAAAAAGGCTGATTCCCTTTTGTACCTATTTTTAAAAAAAAAATAATGATGTATCATTATTTTAGCAATTGTATTGACTTGCTTTTATTTGCATGTGGTTTATTCTCTTAGATAAAATATTTTATAATTGTGGTCACATGGCTAATTTGCTAAGTAATTTCTTATTTTTAAAATGCCTCATCTATGAAATAGGTATGTAAATTAAACTTTTGCACATACAGATAAATTTCTATTAAAACAAACTCTAGAGTTTATTTTTCTCTTACCATACTGGAACTAAGTTGTATTGATGTTATTTCAACTATCAACATGGAAAGAGCTGAAAATCTGAAAATCTTTCTTTAAAGCCATGTGTTTTATTGGAAATAGTATGAATAAAGGATTTTGTCTTGTTAGAATAAATTCAAAACTATTTCTTTTCTGGACTAATCTTCAAATGTGCTTTGTTGACTATAAATAGCTCTCAGTTACTTGGATCATAGTTGAGATTCAGGGCAGGACAATAGGCAAAAACTTCTTACCAGGGCTGGACCCTGAAGTGGGAGGAAGTTTTAGATATAGACTGAGTTGTAATGAAGACCAGGATAGATAAATATAGAATCAGTTGGTCATTTTCACAAATAAAAGTCAAAAGTGATCCATAACACAGTGGCTGCCCAGGGTCAGGCCATGTCAGAGGCAGTAGCCAGGACATTATTTTTAATCAAGATATTGTGGCAGAATCTACCCTTTAAACACTGTGGCTTGGGATTTTTAGTAGCAATTTTACCCAAGGTGTCTCTGTGTTTTTCAGTAATGGCAGGAGCTAGCCCACTCTGCGACAGGTGTAAGGGATTTGGGGGTGTGGTTCTTCTGGAGTGGTGGTTCTATCTGGCTCAGGCTAGGCCTCCTGTAGGTATCTTTGGGATACTCTGGGTGTGTTGACTATCATCCTCAGTGGTCTGAGTTTAATGTATGAGGCAGGACCTTACTGTTTTTTGTTTGTTTCTTTTTGTTTTTGTTTGGTGTTGGGTTATAGGTTGAATGACTAAGGGATAAAACCACAGTTAGTATACCATACTGGTAGGGGGGCAGAAAGAAGTCAAGGAATCAAGTATAGGTTTTGTAATAGAATAATGTTAAAAATATATGCATAGTACAGTTTGATATAGGTCATAGCAGTTCATTATTTTTCAGTCTGTAAACTGCATTGTTAATTGTATTTTTAATTCCTAGATTGGCTCTGTAGGATCATAGAATTGTAAATGGTAGGTGAAATATTTGAGTAATTATCAGAAGTGGAAAATGACTATTATCAGAATTGTTTAATGCTTTTACTTTTCATATTGTGCTGTTTTACCTTTGTACCCTCAAAGCACCACAAACCTCTGTGAGGGTGGTAAATAGGGTTAATAGCCTAGGAAATCTCTGTTTCTGTGATTATCATTCTTGTAACTGGCATCTGCCTTAAGTGCATTTGGCCTGCTGCTCTCCCTCCCGTAGAGCTATCTTCTCTCTGGGCTCCTCTTCCTGTCTCTGCTGCCCCACACCCTCGGTGCCCTCTGCCAGGAAAGTCATCCCTGGCATTCATTTATTTTCCTATCTGAGTTTTTCCCCTGTAGATTCTAGCCTTGTTCTTAATTTCCATTCAGCCAGCACAGTCTCCTCCCCTTGGAGTCCTCTTTTCTATGTCCTTGGTACCAAGTCT